CCATGATCTTTGGAGTGGCATCAACCTATGTAGATGGAACGAACATTCTGGATGCTATCTTAGTAAAATGGGCGGAGATGAAATCTCTCACCTCTCAACTCAGATCCTCGCTACTTGTTGAGAAAGATCAGAACAACAAAGCTCATGAAAACTTAAAGGTACAAAGTCTTTAAAAACATTAATGGTTTAATTGATGATATTATCAAATAATGAATTATAAAAATATGCAAATGATAATGTTTATAAAACATTTTTTTTTTTAAAGATATACTCTCCTTGCAATTCGACACTATATCAGGTGAAAATTTTCTTTATTCTTTTATTCATTAATTCGTTTAATCATTAATGTTTTTGTTTTTTTGTTTTTTGTTGTTGATGTTTTTAAATAGGACTTGGCAGATTTCATGGGTATAAAAACGTCTGATTGTGAGTCTACCATTGTTGGCGGTATAATGGACAGATGGACGGAGAACAGACGAGAGGTCATTGAACTTCAAAGAGCCTTGAAAGAGGAAAGGGAGAAGACCAAGCAGGCTCAACAAGCTCTCAAGGTAATTTTCATGTCAAAAATATAAACAAACAACAAAAATATGCAACCAAATAACAAAAAGAAAAGAATTAAAGAAAAAAAGAGTGTCCTAGATAAATATTAGGCCTACCTATAATCTACAGCCAGTTACTAATAAGTATAACAAATGGCATCCTGTATACTACAATCAAGACAACAGTAAGTAGTAATCCAATCTATTCAATAAGTAAAGTCCGAATCTCTCCTCTCTCTTACTTGTGCTCTTCAGGCCCCCTTCTATCCTCTCTTTCTCTCTCTCTCTCTCTCTCTCTCTCTCTTTCTCTCTATCTCATTCTCTATCTCTATGCCCCTCCCCCTTCTCTCTCTCTCTCTCTCTCTCTCTCTCTCTCTCACTCTGTATGTCTCTCTTTTTCTTTATGTCCCTTTACCTCTCTCCCTCTCCCCGTCTCTCTCTTTCTTTCTTTCTTTCTCACTGTCTACTTGTCTCCGCACCCTTTTGACTTCACACCTATTCAGTAATGTTGTTTCCCCCCCACCATCCTTATTTTTGACAGGATCATCTCTCCCGTCCTGGTCCAGTGCTTGCCTCAGTTGTCACTCAAACCGATGACCATCAGGCCCAATCGGAAGGCCAACTTTGTGACAAGTCAGTCCAAACAGATCGGTAAGAGAATTATTTTAATCATCGAATGTACAAAGTCGTAGATTCATCATTTCAAAAGTAAATTAGCTTATGATTTTCATTTCGCTTGTCTCTTGGTTATAAAAAGAATGATGACCCCCATCATGCCAAAAAGATAGAAATGCTTAAACTCTGCCTTTTTAGATCACTCTTTTGATTCAGTAGAATATTCTTGATTGTAATAAAGGTTGTGATTATTGTACTATTTTCTAAATTTTCTTTTTAAACAGAGACCCCTTGATTTTCGGTAAGACCGAGCAGAAGCTACAGCAGATCAAAGAACACCTTTCTCTGAGCATCTCCTACCGAAGCCATAGCTTCACGTTATCTGCATCTCGCGATCTCATTCGTCTTGGTCCTCGCTGCAGAAGCCTGAAGACACTCAGAGCAGGGGATGCCTTCAGACCACCAAGTAGGACATCTCTGCTTCGAGGTGATTCTGCAATCGCCAGTACGATCAGCTGTTTGGAGCCACCATGTAACAGCAACATGATGGTCTCCAATATGTCCGACCTCATCCCTTGGGCGGAGACGAGATGCAGCATCGAACTTGGAAGAGGTGTCGCAGGAACTGTCTTCCTCTTCCGTCACGCAGTCTCGAAGATCCCCGTCGCTGCCAAGCTCGTTGAATACCCAGGAGAGTGCTTCAGGAACGAGGTCAGGATTCATCAAGCAATCAGTGGCCTCCCATGGTTTCCTACCTTCTATGGAAGCTTTGACATCGAAGGTGACCAGGCAGTTTTGGCCATGGAGTTCGTTGGGAGCGAGTCTGAGGATCGTAGCTACACCATCACTGACTGTCTCGAGAAGTCCATGTTGAAGACAGGACCGGATCTCACCAGAGATGAGTGGTTTAATGTCCTCAAAGATGTTGCAGAAGGACTGAAAGCACTCCATTCCAATGGATTCCTGTGTAATGATCTCAAAGAAGACAACGTACTGGTTGTCGAGGAGTCTGGACGCTGGCGAGCCAAGATCATCGATCTGGGATGGGCTTCTGAAATCGCCACTCCTTTTGTAATGCCTCTTGATGAAGAGCAAATTGATTTTTACCGTAGCGGCCGAGGGTGTGACCATATTGCCCCTGAATGCGTGTTGGACGCCAGGCCTTGCTCAACATCCAGCGATGTCTACTCCTTAGGCAGATTGCTAGCGATCGTAGGTCGCGCCATGAGGTATGATGATTTTGAGTGTTTTGGTACGCAAATCTACCTGGCTGATGAAGACCAGAGGCCAACTGTGCAAGAAATCCTCGACGAAATACAGCCGGTATATATAGAAGAAGGGGAAGATGGCCCCTGGTCATCTTCTTGTTAGTTCATTCATCGGAAGGGGAACGGGGGAAGGGCAAAACCATGTATAGCAGATACTGTAGCATATTTAAATTGAATGTAGAACTTGTAGAACTGTAGAAGGAAGAGAAGGGCTAGTGAATGGGGGAACTGAATCCAGAACTGGTCTATAGTAGATGGATATAGGAAAAGAAGGATGATGGAGTAGAAATATCATTCAATAATTATGAAGAACGATTAAGACGGAAAGTTTGATAACATCAGTGAAGACTGTAGGAAGGAAAGGAGGAGCAGGAGATGACAATAGAGGAGCAGGCCTAAGAACAGCTAAAGGCCGAGGATTGGTAGATTAGAAGTAGAAGTAGAAAGATCAGTGTGGTGATTTAAATCGGGGCAAAACGATGAAACTGTACATAACATTTTTAACGTATATATACTACCGTTGATTTGCTAGAAACAATCTGCTTTAGAAAGTAATCACTGTGTTTAATATGTATTGTACCATTGTATATATTGTTATCATGACTAAGCTATCTGGGCAATAGACACGGAGTAAGTTCGATCTTGTAGAGCGCATTTCATGACCAAAGGAAATTCCAATGCGTTTTACATTGCTTATTACATTATCTGGATAAACGTAACATTTCCATCCTAGAAAGTCTAATTCAAACTACAAATTGAAATTGAAGAGCATGAATATTAGGTGATATTAAGGTGGAACGAGATATCACACGGTGAACAATAATGCAACAGAATGTTGGTCCCAATGCTATGTTTGCAAAAGTTGGATTATATCGAATCCACTCTTATAAAACTACCGTGTATTCTTTAATATCAACATATCTTTACAAATACTTACTGAAATATAAGCTTCATAGATATGTACATAGTATTTAGTGATATATTCCACAGGTGCATTTGAATTCGTATTTGGATAGAAACAAAAAGGAAGGTAATGAAGTAGAAAACAAAGTCAAGAAATTATTATGCTGTAAATATTGTATATATTATATTAAAATAAAAGTTATATATTGAATTAGCGTTTGTTTGTGTTTATTGTTATTCTTGATATTCAAAAAATAGAAGACAGAAATGGTGAGCGAGAGAGAGAGAGTGAGATAGAGAGAGAGAGAGAGAGAGAGAGAGAGAGACTGAGAGAGAGAGAGTGGAGAAAGGGGATGGAGAGATAGTGGAGAAAGCTGTTATATGATTGTTTTATTTTATTTACATATATAATTAGGAAGCACTTTGAAAACGACCTGAAACCAATACGGTTGCACTCATTATCTGTACTTCTTTATGTTCAAAAGTTATAGTACGAACTGGAAGTGTTTTCACTTTTGATTAGCGTCATAACTCAAAAAGCTTTGAAGAGAAGGAAGGATTAAGAAAGGAGCACATATTTTTTTTTTTGTGTCCCGGAAATTAAAAAAATTTGCCGACCGATATTTCGTTCAGTGGGGAGGGGGGGGGGGGGGCGGGCGGGGATGTCAGTTTTTAAAAAACTTGAAGAAAAAATTAGGGGGGTATCCTCCGATAACCACACCGCGCCTGCATCATAGTGTGATTTGTAGCAACCACTTCGTTAGCGTTTTAGATCTATAAGTGATGCGTGAACGTACACGATTGTTGTACATAGTAATGACAATAATGATAATAATATTATCAATAATAGTAATGATGCTAATTATATTATGTTTCTACTTGTTTACTGGTCATTGGATTCAACTACTGATCCGTACCTCATATAGTGCATACGTACGTTCCGTATCATTTTACAAGCGCACACATGCTAATCCAATCACATTCGCATCCTACCGGGTACCATTTAACACTTGGATGGAGAGCAGCAAATGTAGAACAATGTCTTGCCAAACACATTAGTGCCGTGGCGGGAATCCATCCGTGAACCATGTGATGCACAGGCCGGTACACTTATAACTATCATATAACCTAGTAACGTCTTATAGACGTACCAAACTAGTGTTATAATCATTACATTATTATTGTTGTTCTTATTATCATTACTATTGTTTTTATTGATGATAAAAATGGTTTCAGTGCTGCCAGATAATGACACTAATTTTTATTCAGACCACATGCTACACAAACTGAAGAGTATTCTTACGAATCCAGAGCAAATTTGTTTTAAAAACGCGTCTCAAACGTACACATTAGTAACACTATCATTCTTAAAGCACCTCCTCATTAGATACCTAGCACATGGCAAAACATACATGAGTACATGTAATACAGTCAGAACCATAAGAAATTCTTTTTAAGCCCCTCTGCACTAGTATGGCATGGAGGGATTAGACCTCCCTGCAAGGTCGCTGGAAGGTGGTTATCTCATCAAATCAAAGAAAAAAGGCATCATGGGGGATCAACGGGTACCACTTGGGCATTGTTGGCTGTATAGAGGGTGCAAGTAGTTATAAGTTCTGCTGTGGGGCTTTAAAGACACTTACTGAAATATTTAGACAAGTCACACTATTGCTGTTAGTTAAATAAATCATGATTTATTGGCAAATATATGAATCAAATATACACATTGGATGATGAATCACAGTACAATATAAAGGCTAAGCCACTTACTCGTGTAATTTTTTTGCACATAACAAATCAATACTGTGGAAATAATTGTGAAAGTAATATATTATGTAAAAGTATTGGATACTACCACAGATAAATCATGATTAATGCTAAAGTTTAAGCATAATAATAAACTTAAAATAAGAATCAACTTAAAATTCTCACTTGACAAGTCGAGTCTCATCTTGACTACTAAAAATGATAAAAGTCTGTTCCAAATATTGCACACCTAGAGTTTCAGTTGCATAACACTTTTAATTGAAACTAAGGGTGTCTCTTCACATAATGATGATTAGTATAATGATGTTTACATTTTCAATCATAATTACTCATAATAATCTATATGAGGTAAGTACACTGTATACATTCAATCTTGTATATAAAGGCCACGAAACAGAATGAATGGCATTTGTAGACAGGTGGCCTTTTTACACAATCAATACAAAAAGTCACCTGAGACACAGAACTTGATATTCAAAAGACTTGGCCTTATAAAGGTTTTGACAGTTAAGTACACATCTGTTTGATGCTAGAAGGGTGTTCACACATATACTTGAACATGGAGTTAGAGCCCTTCTTGCTTTCAACAGACGATTAAATCTATAACTTTGGAAAATGACTCTCACAAATTATCTTTGGAACCAGAAAATTGTCTTCAACCACATTTTGAGTATTCTCTATTTATGTAATCATGTAAGATAGAGCATACAGGCTTGGGAGTTCTACAAAAAATTGTTTCAAAAAAAATATCCAAAAGAATAAAGAAGATCAAATGGTACATTGTAATTCTGTGTGCTTTGCTGTTTATGTATCTTTTGGCAGTGTTGTGATAATAATTATTGCAATATCATCTTTTGAGTTGTAATAAGGCTGTAAGACACTTGCTCCTACAACAATTGTTCCAAAGTAATTTCCAATACTGAACAAACTTCTCTGATCCACCCTGAACCAAACACTATACCTCACCTTAAACTAGCCCTAAACCTACCTCGAAACCCAACTGCAACTCTAACTCTAACCCCAACACCTATGATTTAGATGAAATAAAATCTAGAGCAAATAACAGATCACCTGTAAGTACAGTTATAAGCATGTATGATCATATATTTGTTTTATTCTCACAAATTAAATGATTGTGTATTTTTATCTGATCATTTCCTTTTATTTTTTATAAAATTTCTTTATGAGAAAATAGGACCTGTTTTACAATTGGCCTTGACATAAGATTTGAAATTTTGGAAGCACACCCGGCCAGGGAGCTGGATGATTAGCATGACCATCGTCAAGTTAGGAAAGGACTGTCCACACAGGATGCTCCTGCAGCCACTCCCCCTTCGTTCTCATCCGTGTGCTTGGTCCGCAGGAGATGGCCCTCACTTTCATTCAGCACAACTTCACCATTATGACTGTTTAAAGAGAAAGATGCAAGAAGACTTTTGGCTCAATGTCGAGTTGTTCGTAAAAGAAATTTCTTGAAAGTTGCTGGTTAAAAACAAACCAAGAAGTTTGACTCAATAATGGGCTTTGGTTGAATAAACAACTAAAAGTTGCTGCAAAAAAGACAAAAGAAAACTTCTGATTTGATGTTCAGCTTTTGGTCAAAAAACTGCCTAAAAATTGCTGTTGAAAATGAAGAAAAACTTCTGACTTAGTAATGTGCTTTTGGTAAAGAAACTTCCTAAAATTTGCAGATAAAAAGAAAAGGAAAAATAAAAGACTTCAGACTCAATGTTAAGCTGTTGGTACAGAAACTTCTAAAAATTACTGTTAAAAAAGCAAAACAAGACTGTTGACTCCATAATGAAGTAATATATATTTTCAGCTGCCAACAAGAAGCTGTTACTGCCACTGACCATACATATCTCTTATAACCTTTTTGCGGGCAGCAGGCGATACACACTTACCTTATAATCGTCCCGTATATTCCCAGCTCGCTCATGACCTTTGACAGTTTGAGGTCATCGAATACCCCGCATGGCTGCAGGTAGTTCTGATGGATGGGGGGAAGGATGCGATCCATCAAGATAAAGCCCTCCCTCTCTTGGTTGCCTGCCAACTTCTCCAACATGGTCCGCACCTCATCATCGTAGATATTATTGCCTGGTGCAGGGGAAAAGATGATCACCAATAATTACCAATGTTAATCAAGTAATCTTTGGTACTAGCACACCTTAGAAAAAAAATCTTTGTTTAAAGGATCAATCATTTAGAAATTAATTTACATTTGCCACTCTTATAATAAGTAATGCTGTTTTTTATTGAATTGCCAAAACACTCAAGGAGGAGATATGGCAAGCATATTCCCAAAGGAGTGAAGGCTTTGCACCCCTGTGAGAAGTGATTAAAAACAGTGATATGAAACACAAGATTATCATCATCATGTACGTACCTCCACCCTCTCTCTGAGGTTTCATGACATATCTCCTTGGATTCTCTATACCTCTTCGGGCAGCTTCATCCCCCTCGGGAGTCTGCAATGAGACGAGTGAGAAAACCATACAAGTAGCTGTTAGTAACGACCGATGCCTGATGCGTTATACATTGTGAGTACTCATCTGCAAGCTCAGACCCTAATTTGATACTTGACCACAATTTCTAAAGCCTTGAGCAGAGCCTAGGTCTGTCAGTCCCTGGCTGTGTCCTGAGCAGCTATAGTACAGAGCCTATGCAGTATGCAGACACGATTACGCACACCGACCGACAATGGTTAGTGCCTGCAAACTACACAGTGAGTGTTGCATGAACACTGCAACCTGCTGTAGGTGAGTAAACACACAGATTGCAGATTATGGGTTAATCAGTTCAGACTCTGAGACACCAGTACCACTAAATGCTCATTCATTCAAGTATAAAGCGGTAAAACCATGGTGGTTTTTTCTTTAACGTGTTAATAAATGAGGAGTACACGCAAAAAAGGTCCTATTCATCTTCACCGAGCTCTGTGTTATCAGATACAGAAACGTGAAGCCTATTATGATTATGTTTCAATAAGAAAATTAAAAAAGAAAGGCAGGGTTTGCCATGTCATATCTAAAAGAGGCTTAACAGTGTCTAGACTGAAAATAGATAAAATAAGACCAACTCACCAGATCTAGGGAGTACTGGCCCGCAAACGAGGACCTGATGAAATCTGTCACCTCCTGGTCCTCAACAAACTGTTCCAGGACCCCGGGCTTGGCTAGTTCCTGCTGGATCTTCTTGGTTCCAACGAGATGCCATGAGATCGACGGGCTGACGACAGCTCTAGACTGCTCTCCCATTAGTTTCCCCTTCCATTCCTGTCATGAAATGGGGAATCATAATTTAAATTTGTTACAAATCAATTGTTTAAGATATTAATGATTTGGGAAGAAGCGACTTATTCACTGTAACCCTCAGGTCTCTCCTCCCAGTAAAACTGATTAGGAGGAGCAGGTGTACCACTACATCACGGTTTCCTCCCTAATCTTATTTGAATACTGCAGTTGGTACCTAATATGCATAGGTAATGACTCTATTACACATGGGACCTCTGTTTAGCATCCTATCTGTGGGACAGAGTATTTTCCACTGTAACACAACCTGCATCTATAGAACAGGGTAGGGACACATCGAAACACAACACAGGCTTCAGTCATCTGCCTGGGCTGGATCATAAACCAGATCCTTGGGTCAACGGGGCAGACGCTTTACCGACTGAGCCAACTCGCCTCCTTCAAATATAAAGTTGAGTTCCTTTCATTGCATGGTGTCAGAGACTGTTCAGTAGTAACTGGGAAAGGCAGATTTTAGGTACATAACTGTATACCGAGAGATTTTGAATCAGCAAAGTGATAAGATATTGACTCACACATAATGCCTATGTGCATTAATGGTTCAAAAGTGGTATCATCATTCTTTAAAGCCTAACTGTACTACTTGTAGCTACTTGCTCCCTCTATATAGAGAACAATGCCAAAGCGGTGCCCGTTGGTCCACAATGATCTTTTTCTTATGTTAATTGAGAGCTTAATTGATGAGATAGCCACCTGTCAATGACCTTGCTGGGTGGTCTAATCCCTCCTGGCCAAACTAGTACAGACAGGCTTTAATGACTTCAAAAAACTAGACTGAACAAGAAAACTTCGACTTGCTTTGCTTTACTTACAAACTCTGTTGGAAATTGGTGAGGAGTATAGCATGATCGGTAATACAAAACTGCCACTTCTGTGCCATCTCTGTAAAAACAATGCAGTAGTTACAAAAAAAATAATCTTTGTTTGAATTTTTTCACAGAGGTACTCAATGGCTGCAAATTATATATGGTACCTGGGTGATATGTCACAAAAAAGTTCCTTATAACTTATAATGGCATAATGAAACTTCTTTTTAGCACAGAATTATATTTCAGACCACAAAAACCCTGTTTTTATATAATTGAAAACCTGACAGGACAAGTCCCCCCCCCCCCCCCCCCGACCCGAAAGACAACTTCTCTCTAGGGAAATTACCACCAAGAAATAAAACTGCCTGTATTAATATCCCTTTAAATATAACCCAAGTTACGTTGCAAACAGTTTTTGTGTGATTTAATTTATTTAGGAGGTAATAATTTTGGAGGGGGAAGGGGGCATTGAGGGGAGTAGTTTTCACAGGGTAGATTTCCGTTTTTCCACAGCATGCATAAATGGAAAAGACCCTTCATCTCTAACCTTTAACCTTTCAACCTCTGACTCACATGAATAACCTCCTGTCCTTTGTGAGTTCACCTCTGTGCCCGATGTCACCCAATGTTTTCCTCATGACCTTGATCTTGTGGTCGCAGTCTGTGATGGCATACTCCAGGAACCTTTGGTCAAAGATGTTGGGTTCTTTGGAGGTGACGATGAAGAATACTGCAGCACTATGTTACAAGAAACATGACAAAAATCAGATTAATTGTATGGCTCCCAACTTCTAAACTTTGCCTAAAACCCAACTGCAGCTCTAACCCCAACCCTGCATCTTCAAAAACATGAAGCCTAGAGCAACTGTCGCCAGAGCCTATGTTGGAGTGCAATTCTAGTTGTGGTCCTGCTCATACAAATTTTGATTTCATTATTTTCAGAACCCTTTCTCACACAGAACATTGGGATCTACAACCTTTTTCACAAAAGATGAACATTTGTAAAAAAAGAAACATTGAATACAGACAGGGGCATATGCACAAGATCAAGTCATACAAATAGTAACTCATTCTTAATGTTATGTTACAGATAGATACAATATATATATGGTAACATACAATAAATTGTAGTAATAGTGGAGATACAATGAAACTCGCTTGATTGCAAGTAGAATTTTCATGTTACACGGCACTGGTCATACAAATAAAAATATCACTATTAAGGAAACTAATAGAGAGGTGCAGAAAGGGGGGGGGGGGGGTACTCACCTAGGTTGACCATAGAGGTGGAATGCTTTGACAATGGCTTGGGCCAAACCTTTGTTTGCTTGATTATCTGGTATACAGGACGGTTCAAACTCTTTGCGACATAGTCCAAGGACATACCTAAACAAAGATGCATTGCAATATAAACCAGTCAGGACATCACACAATATACTGCATATCATTGTAAATTAAAATATGTTTGTGTCTCAATATAAGTATAATGTAAATAAATAAATGCATGTATCTTTCTTTAGTGTATGTACTATCAAATATCATCCCAGTGCTCTTTAGTATTATTACTCAGTATACATGTATTTCAAGTTCATAATAACCATATTCTTTTAGCTTCATTCATTTCTTCTTTGTTTGAATTCTTTGTTCATTAAAATAATCATTTTGTGCCCAGGGTAGCCTATTCAATGATTTTAGCTTGCACAAAAACACATGAAAATGTATTATGATATGAATATGAAAATGTATGCTTAAAATCTGTTTTTAAGAATCCAGAAAGTAATTTATTCCTTCTGGATGATGTTTTATTGGGAGCATATTAAAATTCATCCAATTTTTATATCAAAATTTTTGACCTGCTTTTAACAATCTCAGGAGTTTTTGACTAACCTGTGTAATGGTGTTACATTAGTTGCTAGGGCAGCAAAGGAAGCAGCCATTGTGTTCATTTCAACCATTGACAGCGCAAGATTACCAGACTCACCCCGGGCAGTATCAAGCATGTAGTCTGTTCTTAAAAGGCCTAACTCAATGTCCTGAAAATAAACAAAACAACAACAATAACAAAAATAATCAAAATAAAACAAAATAAGCCTCACAATTTATAAAAGATTTTTAATCAGACTATTTACTAAAACAATTGCAATAACTAAAGTCAATTAGACAACTAACAGTTGTTATGTTCCCACATAAAGACATTTTCAAGCCCCTTCGTTTTGAGGGAGGTTCTAAACTAGTATTATCTTTCAAATGCGGATGAAATTTGAATTTTTCATTATTTTGGCCTGCAAATGAGACATAGTATCTTTAAGAGACAGGACATCATCCCCATGATCAGTTTAACATATTTTACTTACTTTCGATAATTTTTCATCATGCACTTGCTGATATATCTTGAATAGTTTGCCTGTGAAATCATCCCCTTCTATTGTTCTGTAAAATAAAAAGCAACAAAAAATATGTATAATTAATACATGCACTATTATCTTAATGTAAATCAAGATAACCTTTTCCCCCATACATCCACACATATGTTGAAAGTAAGTGGAACTGTTATGTTAGTAAATACATTTTAAACCAATTTTTTTTTTAAAGTGCTACACACTTAATTTTGAGATGTTTCTGGAAATTAAATTCTTCACAGATGGTTACATAATTACACAAGTAGCAAACCCTAACAAACTATAGGATAAGGTGCCGTCATTCTGTTTTCATTTACCAAAAATTCACAATAACTACACTTGACAAACATGAAAGATAAGTCTTACTTAAATGCCGATATTAACCATGTCACTATACTACATACAACCATGTGACTGGATACACCGTCACAGTATGTTCAATTCAATTTAAATCAAATTAATTTAAAATGGATAATGAAATGTTTTTATCATAAATCTTAGGCATTGAATGATGCCATAATACGATAACAATAGCGGGTTCTTGTATACAGCACTCATGTCTCTGTCAGACTTGACACTCCACAATCATAACATTTACGTTAGCATGGCTGTTATTACAGTGCTTCAGCATTTCAAGGAATTAATTCCAGCCAGGAAGTTACCCTGGGTTGAGTGTGGCAAATGTACAACATGTCTTGCCAAAGCACATTAGTGGTGTGGCAGGGGGTTTGAACCCAGTACCTTGTGGTTTACAGTCCGGTGACTATAATCCACTAAGACCAATAGATTACAAGATCTCTACAGTTGTGTTGAAAAAACAGTACAATACAGCTGACTGTGGTGGGAATATTGATTTTCAAGATTCACACGGCTAAAAGGAATGTTTTACTATTGATGAAATATCATGCACAGTTGCACATAATTGATCTGATTTGAAAAGGGTGTATAAATCATTGAGAGAAGAAAAAAAAAATACTGTTCAACATTTGAAAATAATCCTTAAAGTAAGTGCCCAGACTGTGTACAACAAGGTATGGGGTTCAAATTGCTGCCATATCACTAATTTCTTTGGAAAGACATTAATCTCCATTTGACACTCTCCAACTAGGTGAGGTAAATGTAAAATGGGTACCCAGTATTAAGAAATTACTTGAAGGGAAGTCCACCCCGATACTGATAGTGATACTAAGTAGGTTGTAATAGAAGCAGAAAATGAGAGGGAACAGGTCATTGACAGTTTGAGCGAATTTCGATTAAAAATCAGAAGTCTCTGATTAGAAATCGGAAACTGCTAAAAACTTTCACTGACCTGTTCCTCTCATTTTTCTGTTTAGATCTATTAAAACAAATTAATATCAGGGGGATCATCCCTTTAATTTTGTTTACACCCTATAGTGATGGCTAGGCTTAAGCCTCATGATACTTTGTATATAGTGCAGAAGAGCTCCTGTCTAAGGTTCCTTATTTCTTTGAAGTTCCTACTTCATAATCAGTACAAAAATTACTTGGCTTGGTAAGCTTTCATTTCAAAAAGTTGACAGCATAGGGAGCAAGAGCTTATCAAAACAGGTCAATTTTCTACTGATTGTGAAAAAAAACTTATTTTAACATATTTTCAATCATTCAAAATGTACATGTACTACTCAACCAAGCACTGAAAGGGAAACTCCCTTCTTTTCACAATTTGTTTTTCTTTCTTCCTGAAGTTAACCACATATAACACATTACCACACAAGAAGGTCATATTGTTTCTTTGATCAAAAAGAAACCTCACCCCAAGAAATCCCTTTTGGGGCAAGATATTGTAGTTCCTACCCGCGCTTCTAAGGCTGATCTATAAGGTGCCCTTGAATCAATAGCACCTAGATTACCACTGATTTTGAGCCCTGACAGAGCTCTCTTTCATCATATTCAAAACTTCTTTTTTTTTAAACAAAAAGATATGAGAGGGGTTCTTAGTTCTTACCTGGACAGTGTTTGTGTCAAGAAGTCTTTGTTTTGACTCACTCTATACAAGAGCAAATTAATGGCCTGCTGAAGCCTCTTGGCTTTCTCAAAGAACACCCTCGGAAATGGAGACGGGATCAGTGTGTAGGGAGCATGACAGATGACCTCTGACCTTTCTGGCCGGTGGGGCATCCTCATGACCACACCATGGCTGTATGCAAAGTCCCTTGCTTGGTCCTGCACATCTTTCAATAGTGCTTGGTCTAGAGGTAACGGCAGGATGGGGTCCAGGGATGGAGCGGACATATTGCTTCCTTGCTTCCTCTATAAATAGAAACAGTACAGTCATGTTTGAGATGCGAAGGATAAAGTTCAATGTTAAAAAGATTGAAATGTATAACATGATTTCCTTTTAATCCTATGGTGACCGAGGCTTAAAATAAACTAAATACTAATTCAAAATCATGCATTAGCCATATAACAGAGTACCTCAGACCTGTTCTTTATATTTACAAAATACAAAAATCCATCTCTTGTTATGAAACCAAACACAATCTCTGGTATTAGTGGCCATGATGATTGTTGTTGTTGTGTTTTGGCTTATTGGTGATTAGTCAGTAATTTGATTATTGTCGCCAACTATATCTATGGTGCTGGTAAATGACAAACCATGTAGTACAGTAGAGAAACCATAAAAAGTACATTTATATGGTACAGCTGATGTCTGATTATTGATTAGTGAGGATTTCAAAACTAAAGATCTGAACACAACTACTGTAAATTTACCAAATTGGGTTGTACTGACAGACGGTGCTGTCAGTGCACCTATCCCATCAAACAGGGCTCAAATTAATTTTTGGTCCACGGGGGCTCTTCAAAAAAAAAAGCGCCCCCGTGAGCCTTCTCTTTTAGTACTGACGGGAGCTTTTTTATTAATAAAAATTTCCATTGAATTAGGGGTACCAATGAAACTCCTAAATTATTTGCTATTTCATCATTATCATTAATAGTCGGCATTATTTTCCTCTTACAACTTTACAAGTTATAACATGCAGCTAATGGTCCGACAGGCAAGCGCGTAGCAAGGATTTCATTTTAGGGGGGCGGTAGTGAGCACGCAAAGCGTGCGAATCACTTACAGAGCGCGCGTAGCGCGCTCCCTAGAGGGGTGGGTGCAGGGAGGTGAAAGTTTTGACGTTTCATTAAATTATTAGAGAAAGAAGACAATTCGTTTTACAGTTCTCGACTCTAAATCCTTGCCTGAATTCAGTTTCCCCGTTCCCGCGCGAAACGCGGAAGCTTTGACTTTTCATAAATTATTAGAGAACGAAGACGATCCGTTGTACCGTTCTCGACTCTTAATCCTTTTTCTTCCTACGTCCTCTTCCTTTCTTCCTTTTTTCTCTCTCTTTCTTTTTTTGGCCCGCGTTTTTTTTTTTTTTTTTTGGGGGGGGGGGGGTGACTGCCCCCACCGCCCCCCTGGCTACGCGGTCAGATCTCTTCCCTTTGTACGAAATTTCTGGTCCAAGCCCGTATACATTTGCCTCCTTGCCAACAGGTCTCCTTTTACCAATTTTAGCTTTCGGTTGATTTACTGGTCGAGGTTCATTATTTGCTGATGTTTTGGAATTAGATTTCAGAGGATTCACGATTTTCACAACGAAAAACTTCTTCACGTTTCGGTCCTCGCGCGATCGCCTCTATCTTGCTCCAGCAGATATGGGGCGGCATGCGTGCACACCAGTATACTACCGGCGCAGCCAGTAAAGCCGCTCTGCTGACGACCGCAGTGAACTGCGATCTTCCGTTGTTTGATTGTATCCGTAATACCCATAGAGATGTGGAGATGGGAGATATAGCGCAATCTTGCAGCGAAAAGGTGTTTATTCCTTCACAATGTGGCAGCGTCCAGACACCAAAGAATTCGAGTGAGAAATCCTGCACGCTATAAAAATGTTACTTCCATAGTTCCATTTCATTGATTTAAGGTTTGAAACTTGAAACTCAACATTGTGTGAAAGTTATAACAGAAAGGATCATCTTTATTTTATATTTGTTATTTATATTCCACGGGGGCGATTTATAATTTTGCAATCGCCCCCGTGAGCACTCTGACGGAGGCGATTGTGTAGCTCACGGGGGCGAATCGCCCATCGCCCCCCTATGTATTTTGAGCGCTGCCATCAAAAGTAACAGTTGACAGGAATGAGACACCCTGGATAAACTCCTCAATTGAATGTACAGGTACTACATACAAGAGCAAACAAATTGCTTATAATAAAGCAAAGAAGAGTAAAAAAAAAATTTAAAAGCAATAAGGAAAGGATATGTTTGAAAAAACGTCTACAGAGTTAGCTAAAACCTTCTGGAGTTTATCAAAACTTTTAAGAAAGACTCTTCTGGCATACCTGACATCAGAGATGTGGAGATAGGGACACTGACAGATAGTAAACAGAATACATGTATCTACAACAATTCACACAAGAAAGACTGTCAGACCTACCAACAGAAAAAGAAACAAAAATTCTACCCATGCCCGAAATTGAAGTAATAGTAGGGGGAGTTGTCAAGTTACTGAAAGAGAACAGCCCATACATTACAAATCTCCAGGTTTCATTTTGATGAAATATTCCCTTGGGTCTTGCGAACAACAGCGGAAGAAATCAGGCCTGCACTTACCATTGTCTTTCAACTATTAATTGAAACAGGAATGGTCCTGTAGACCAGTTGTTTGAAAGGTGACAAGACACAACCTACAAACTATTGTTCAGTGAACCTTTGTGTTTCAACCATTGTCTTTTAGCTATCACTCAAAACAAGAATGGTTCGTGAACTTCCTGAAGACTGGCTGTGTGCTAACATACATGCAACACCTTTTTTTAAGAAAGGTGATAAGACTCAACCTACAAACTATCATTCAGTAAACCTGACATCTGTACGTAGTAGAGTAATGGAAAACATACTCTGCTGTAATGTAATGTCTCACTTGGATGCACATAACATCCTGTGTAACCAACAGCATGGGTTTCGCAAAAAATAATTCTTGTGAATTATAGCTAATTTCCACCATTCAAGATACCGGTAATGCATATGAACTTGAAGTGGAACAAAAGTGCCAAGTGGAAGTGATAATTATGGACTTTCAACAGGCATTCATCAAATAGCCTCACAGAAAACTATTAATTACTAAACCTTAGGCGCTATGGTATCAGAGCCTGAGAGGGACTAAATGTAAGCAAAGGGCAGTAAAAGATGGTGAACATTCTGATAGGGTCAATGTTGACTCTAGTGTGCCACAGGGCACAGTCTCAGGTCCAATAAACTTGCTTGCTCCTTTTTGTAAATGACCTCCCTGATGGACGGTCTTGAATCTGGAAGTCATTTATTTGCAGATGACTGCATTTTGTACACAACAATAACGGGCCGTAAAGATGGCGATAGGTTACAAAGACACCTAGACAGGCTAACAAGCCTAACATCCTGGCAAGACAAGTCTAAAATTGCCAAGTCATGCCTAAAAATGCCAAGCCATGCCCAAAAGTGCCAAGTCATGCCCAAAAGTGCCAAACCATGCCCAAAAGTGCCAAACCATGCCCAAAAGTGCCAAACCATGCCCAACAGTGCCAAACCATGCCCAAAAGTGCCAAACCATGCCCAAAAGTGCCAAACCATGCCCAAAAGTGCCAAACCATGCCCAAAAGTGCCAAGTCATGTCCAAAAGTGCCAAACCATGCCCCAAAGTGCCAAACCATGCCCCAAAGTGCCAAGCCATGCCCAAAAGTGCCAAGTCATGCCCAAAAGTGCCAAACCATGCCCAAAAGTGCCAAACCATGCCCAAAAGTGCCAAGTCATGCCCAAAAGTGTCATGTCATATTTCATATGCCACAGAACAATTTAAGTTTGATCACACTCTAAATAACACTACATTACAAGAGACTAAAACTCACACATATAAAAGAGTAGATAAGTAGTGATTTAACTGGGAACTGACACGTTGGCAGAATTTTCTCCAAGGCAACTAAAACTCTAGGTTTCATCAGAAGGAATCCGTAATATTAATGTAAGAGTTAAAATTAGACTTATTTCCTACTTGTATTTGTCACAATTACTGTTTGTTTCTCTAGTCTCTTCTATATTCATTTCACATCATTTGCATATCCTCCATTCATCTCCTCCACATACCAAGTCTTAAAACAGGTGGTACATGTATGTTCTTTTCTCATTTAAATATTTCCACTTCTTACTTATCATTGGTTCTCTTCTCCTTTGTTCTTATGAATATTCAGTTTTATCCTTGAATCTTATTTGCTATTGGTTGATGAGTGATATTTCATTTGAATATTCTTTGCATGAGGCTGCATATGGATAGCATGCTACATGTACATGTACATTAAAACACATGGAGACCTGGGCCCTGTTTCATAAAACATGTTATCAATAACAAGTTACAATAATTGTTATAAGCTACTGAAATCGTGGCATTTGATTGGCTGAGAGCAAATTTGTCATAGAAATTTAGCATTTGTTATTGAAAACAACTTTTATGAAACAGGGCCCTGCCCTGAACTTGAACTGGGTGAGTGGTATTAATTTAGGGCTTGGTTATGATTATAAGTTAGAGACTTGGGAGAGAGGATTTGTGAGTTTGGCAGTATGGTTTGAATGATTGGTGTTACAGTGATAGATTGGCAAGAGATTATTATTTAATAGTTTACATTAAAGTCAAAAACATGAAAAAGAATGTCGTACAAGACATTAGTGAGACCCAAACTGAATTTTATTGCTCATCCGTATGGGATCCATACACACAAAATTATATAACGAAATTGAAATGATTCAAAATCGAGCAGTCTCTTTCATAACAGGGGATTACAGACTGAGAAAAAGCGTCATTGAAAAATAAAATGAACTTAAAATAGAGACAGAAATTTGATTGCTTATCAGCCTTTCGACAGGCAGTTACAGGTCATCTCACTGTGCAAGTGCTCTCTACCCTGCACCCACAGAAATTTGAGGAACACATCATCAGAAAATTGTTTTATCCCGATTGCAGCAACACCAAAAATTGCTATTATTAGTATTGCTTAAAAATAAAGTTGACTTCTGGTCATGCGATTGCATTGTGCAAGAAACGGTGTGGAATTGATCAGAAAAGGTTTATCATCTAGCATATTTATGTATTTGTGTGTATTGCAAGGTTCTAAATCATCACAATGATAAGAAATTTGGTCAAGTCTTGGTAAAGTTACAAGCACTGTACACAGAATGATGTATATGGGACTATACGAACATGTGGCGTAAAAATCTGTCCCTTGACATTTGAAGAGCCATGCTTTTCAGGGAACATGTTTTACCTTGCATAATAGCAATGATGACACTCACAAATAATTTTTCACCTCTTCCCAGAACTCAACCTTCTCTTTCTTGAATTCTTGCCCACAATTATACAACTTCCACACAACTGCGCCAGGAGTGTCATTTTTGACAGACATGGCGCATTATAAATGTTCACTATTATTATTATTATTATTACTGCATATCCAGACTTAGACCGAATTTTCCGTCTCTTTCGTTCGTTAGCCTCTTATTGGGGTAGGGTCGGCTCTCTCTTTAGAGACGGAAACCGTCTATACACATTCCCTTGATAACGCCACGGCCATTTCAGGTCGTAGCGTTTTGCCCCCAAAATCCCCCAAAATGTCATTTTACCTCGTGCATATCCACATGTAAATTAGGCCTAGGCTATAATAAATCAGTTCCACTTACCAACTTGACTGAAATAATCGGTTTAATAGTCCCTTTTTAGGAAATTATGGGTCAAAATCGAAATCCATTTTGAAAATCTTTTTCAACATGGATTTCGATTTTGACCCATAATTTCCTAAAAAGGGACTATTAAACTGATTATTTCAGTCAAGTTGGTAAGTGGAACTGATTTATTATAGCCTAGGTCTAATTTACATGTGGATATGCACGAGGTAAAATGACATTTTGGGGGATTTGGGGGGCAAAACGCTACGACCTGAAATGGCCGTGGCGTTATCAAGGGAATGTGTATAGACGGTTTCCGTCTCTAAAGAGAAAGCCGGCCGACCCTACCCCAATAAGAGGCTAACGAACGAAAGAGACGGAAAATTCGGTCTAATCCAGACTACATAAAATCAACCCAAGTCAACATAACTCAAAAATAAGTTAACCTCCTTCCTGAGCAAAATAAACATTAAGCCAATCCTCTCTCTCTGCAGTGAACCCTAGTGCACACCGTTCCTGTTAATGTTAACCCCATTTTAAGGTAATTGTTGGACAGTAACCCAAAGAAGAAGAAATCCAGACGACCTGACCATTCGCAAATCAAATGGCATGCTACATATTGCTGCTGCTAGTGAAACAACAAATAACAACATTAAAAAAAAGACCCAATAGTAATACCTAATTGGTCAATGGAGAATTATAATAAAATAGCAGTGATTTCTTTGGTTTTTAAACACATGGTTTCGAATCGACTGAAACTTATAGAAATGATTTAATATGGTCATTTAGCCTAGGCCCTAAGGCTAAGGCTAACGACTATAACGGTTAGATTCTAGTTGACAAAACATTATGTATGAACACACGCAAGTACGGACGGGTGGGACCGTTGTAAGTTACAGTATACACACACACTGACGTTCCTCGTTCTAATCTTCTTCTTAGCTTTCTATGTCCTTCAATCCTGAAGATTGTTCGATTATTGGCTATTGTTCGATGACTAGACTTCTAGGTCAATATTTTTCAGCATGTCTTATCGAAACAAACCATTTGAGCCAGAATAAAAGGGAAAAAATCACTTACCTACGTAGGCGGTACCGGCTTAACTTCGTGCGATGGCTGTAAATGAAAATTTAAGGAGTGACCTAATTAAAGGTAAAGCTAAGACCAGTTTTGGAAACGCCCCCCCCCCCCCACCCCCCCTCTCAAAAAATGAAACGGATCGAAGCTCGTATTACCAAGGCCGTTTTAAGAGCTGGAGACCCAATTACTGCCAGCTAATTATTCCAAGCAGCTGCCGTCTTCTAAGGTTACACAATATAGAATCTACTGGTGTGCATGCTGTTACCTTTGATGTTCAAGGTTCGAAGCCGCCAATATCGGGTCAATGTCGCTATTCATAAGGACCGCTATTTATAAGGTCCGCTATTCATAAGGTCTACTATTCATAAGGACCGCTATTCATAAGGTCCGCTTTTCATAATTGGAGAAAAGGGTCATTATTCATAAGGGTCATTATTCAGAAGGACCGCTATTCATAATCAAAGAAGAGGGTCGGTATTCATAGGAGAAGAGGGTCGCTATTCATAATACGACGGGAGGGTCGCTATTCATAAGGGTCCCTATTCATAATATTACAAAAGGGTCGGTATTCATAACACAGAAAGAGGGTCGCTATTCATAATACGAAATGAGGGTCGCTATTCATAATACGAAATGAGGGTCGCTATTCTGGAAAATGAGGGTCGCTATTCATAAGGGTCATTATTCATAAGGGTCATTATTCATAATCAATGAAAAGGGTCGCTATTCATAATAGGAGAAGAGGGTCGCTATTCATAATACGACATGAGGGTCGCTATTCAAAATAGGAGAAGAGGGTCGCTATTCATAATAGGAGAAGAGGGTCGCTATTCATAATACGACATGAGGGTCGCTATTCATAATAGGAGAAGAGGGTCGCTATTCATAATAGGAGAAGAGGGTCGCTATTCATAATAGGAGTAGGGGGTCGCTATTCATAAAAGGAGGAGGGGGTCGCTATTCATAACACGACATGAGGGTCGCTATTCATAATAAGAGAAGAGGGTCGCTATTCATAATAGGATGAGGGGGTCGCTATTCATAATATGAAATGAGGTTCGCTATTATTAATAGGAGAAGAGGGTCGCTATTCATAATAGGAGTAGAGGGTTGCTATTCATAATACAAAATGAGGGTCGCTATTCATAATAAGAAATGAGGGTCGCTATTCATAATAAGAGAAGAGGGTTGCTATTCATAATAGGAGAAGAGGGTTGCTATTCATAATAGGACATGAGGGTCACTATTTATAATAGGAGAAGAGGGTCGCTATTCATAATAGGAAATGAGGGTCGCTATTCATAATAGGAGGAGAGGGTCGCTATTCATAATAGGAGTAGAGGGTTGCTATTCATAATACAAAATGAGGGTCGCTATTCATAATAAGAAATGAGGGTCGCTATTCATAATACGAAATGAGGGTCGCTATTCATAATGGAAAATGAGGGTCGCTATTCATAAGGGTCATTATTCATAAGGGTCATTATTCATAATCAATGAAAAGGGTCGCTATTCATAATAGGAGAAGAGGGTCGCTATTCATAATACGACATGAGGGTCGCTATTCAAAATAGGAGAAGAGGGTCGCTATTCATAATAGGAGAAGAGGGTCGCTATTCATAATACGACATGAGGGTCGCTATTCATAATAGGAGAAGAGGGTCGCTATTCATAATAGGAGAAGAGGGTCGCTATTCATAATAGGAGTAGGGGGTCGCTATTCATAAAAGGAGGAGGGGGTCGCTATTCATAATACGACATGAGGGTCGCTATTCATAATAAGAGAAGAGGGTTGCTATTCATAATAGGAGAAGAGGGTTGCTATTAATAATAGGACATGAGGTTCGCAATTATTAATAGGAGAAGAGGGTCGCTATTCATAATAGGAGTAGAGGGTTGCTATTCATAATACGACATGAGGGTCGCTATTCATAATAGGATAAGAGGGTCGCTATTCATAATATGAAATGAGGTTCGCTATTATTAATAGGAGAAGAGGGTCGCTATTCATAATAGGAGTAGAGGGTTGCTATTCATAATACAAAATGAGGGTCGCTATTCATAATAAGAAATGAGGGTCGCTATTCATAATAAGAGAAGAGGGTTGCTATTCATAATAGGAGAAGAGGGTTGCTATTCATAATAGGACATGAGGGTCACTATTTATAATAGGAGAAGAGGGTCGCTATTCATAATAGGAAATGAGGGTCGCTATTCATAATAGGAGGAGAGGGTCGCTATTCATAATAGGAGTAGAGGGTTGCTATTCATAATACAAAATGAGGGTCGCTATTCATAATAAGAAATGAGGGTCGCTATTCATAATAGGATAAGAGGGTCGCTATTCATAATATGAAATGAGGTTCGCTATTATTAATAGGAGAAGAGGGTCGCTATTCATAATAGGAGTAGAGGGTTGCTATTCATAATACAAAATGAGGGTCGCTATTCATAATAAGAAATGAGGGTCGCTATTCATAATAAGAGAAGAGGGTTGCTATTCATAATAGGAGAAGAGGGTTGCTATTCATAATAGGACATGAGGGTCACTATTTATAATAGGAGAAGAGGGTCGCTATTCATAATAGGAAATGAGGGTCGCTATTCATAATAGGAGGAGAGGGTCGCTATTCATAATAGGAGTAGAGGGTTGCTATTCATAATACAAAATGAGGGTCGCTATTCATAATAAGAAATGAGGGTCGCTATTCATAATAGGAGAAGAGGGTCGCTATTCATAATAGGAGTAGAGGGTTGCTATTCATAATACAAAATGAGGGTCGCTATTCATAATACGAAATTAGGGTCGCTATTCATAATAGAAGAGGGTCGCTATTCATAATAGGAGTAGGGGATCGCTATTCATAATGGGACATGAGGTTCGCTATTATTAATAGGAGAAGAGGGTCGCTATTCATAATAGGAGTAGAGGGTTGCTATTCATAATACGACATGAGGGTCGCTATTCATAATAGGATAAGAGGGTCGCTATTCATAATATGAAATGAGGTTCGCTATTATTAATAGGAGAAGAGGGTCGCTATTCATAATAGGAGTAGAGGGTTGCTATTCATAATACAAAATGAGGGTCGCTATTCATAATAAGAAATGAGGGTCGCTATTCATAATAAGAGAAGAGGGTTGCTATTCATAATAGGAGAAGAGGGTTGCTATTAATAATAGGACATGAGGGTCACTATTTATAATAGGAGAAGAGGGTCGCTATTCATAATAGGAAATGAGGGTCGCTATTCATAATAGGAGGAGAGGGTCGCTATTCATAATAGGAGAAGAGGGTCGCTATTCTCGTCGTAACCTTACTCTTCTCCAACGCAGAAAGAGACGACATTGTGCTGGATAAATGTATTTTTTCCGACAAAAGTACAGAAAATTTGCATATGGTCTTTTTATATTATACTTTATGAAATGTTACCCGAGTGACTTCCGGGCGCCCCAATGCTGGAAAGAAACGCACATTTTAGAAAAATTCACTTTTTCATGGAAAAATGCTTATTTGTTCTATGCACGCAAGTCAGATTGAGCGGATGATACAACGTTTCCATATGTATGAATAGTGACCCTGATTTCATATTATGAATAGCGGTCCTTAAGATTAATGACCCTTAATATGAATTATGAATAGCGACCCTCATCTCACGTTATGAATAGCGGTCCTTATGATTAACGAACCTTATTTCTTTATGAATAGCGACCCTCTTTTGCCATTATGAATAGCGGACCAGGAAGTACGGGAATTTACACGTTATGAATAACGGTCCTTATGAATAGCGGACCTTATGAATAGCGGTCCTTATGAATAGCGAATAGACCCCTCTAAAACGTACCTACTTGGAAGACTGACATAATTTCTCGTTTTCAAATGCTTTTTGACCACAAAATACCTACTCATCAGTGTTAATCATCACTCTACAGACCACAGGGGTCCTATAACCAGTGGCGAATCCCCTGGGGTAAAAACATGTTAATTACTTTTTTTTGGACATGGGCCACCACCTCTGGCGCTCAAGGGGGGGGGGGAGTGCGGGAGTGCGATTTTTCGAATCACTTTTCGAGCTAGCTAGGCCCCCAATTTTTTTTTACAAAATCCTTTGTGTTTCTTCTTGGTCACTGGCAAATTACACAACAAATCCATGATGTATCACCATTTAATTATCATTACTACAGTCTACATGTCTTCTTCTTTCCACATTTTAGGTTGAAACTCACATATTGATAGAAATAACTACACAAAATGGACAGGTTCGGGGAACATTCCGAGAGGAGACTTATATGTTTCAAATCCCATGCAACGCAAAAGTTCGCACGCTAATGTATGGAACTCGTGTAGTGTGGCATATTTTATGCTCTCGCGCAAAAAGGAGCATAAGAGACAGCAAATCATTCGATGCAAAAGTGCAACCTTTTCCTCTTATCCAATCAAAATGAATGATACTTAACTGGAATCGTTGAAACCTCTGCGAGACGGTGCAATTCGGCCATCGAATCAGTTCTACAGCCAAGATGAGTATGGTATGGAGAGTTGACGAATTTTGGACGAAAATCGGTTGACCTCCATAGAGAAAGTGTCGTGAAAGGTTTTTTGGGAACATTTTTAAGCAAAAAGTGTAACCTTTTCGCATGAATGAAATTATTTCAAATTTATATCATCTTAAAGAGAAAACATTGAATTTTAAAATACCGGCCGAGACGGTGGGTTCAGGCTGTTGCTGTGATTTAGCGTAGGTGATGTAAGGAATTTCACGTGTTGTAGCTCACGGTGCGATGCGTGCGGAGCAGATGAACGAAAGTTGTTCATATGTGCCGCCGGCTGGATCCGCCCCCGCCTAAAACCATTCATTTTATGATGTAATCAAGTTAGTATAATTATGTTGATTAAAGGTAATACAAAGTTTTGGGAAATTTTGAAAATTGGGTGGATAGAGATTCTTTACTATTTTGATATATTTGGATGCCCCTGTGGATGTTTCGTAAGCACTAGAAAATTTAGCCCCTAAAACAGTCCTGCTTTTGAGAAAAATGGAATATAAAAATTTACCGGTGCTCCCGGTAAAT